CTACCCATGTGTAGTCCTCTAAAATATAATAGTATTCTAGTTACTGCATCTTTTGAAAGTGCTTAATTTTTTTCCTAGGAAGATGCACCCTTTGCTGCATCTGATTTGCCATCAAAAATATTGAGAGTGCTGTCTTATAGTTGATGGAACTGTGATCTAATTTAATAAAAGGAAACAAAATAATTTAAGAATCCTTATAGAGATTGTAAACCTAAGCAATTAATAACTTGCTCTGAAATTGTATTTATATGACTAATTCTTTTTCAGATATTATATAGATATTCATAAATCTTTGAAATTAATAATTTTAAAACTATTAAAATTTCTAACTCCAAACTGATACATTGTTACTCTTCAATCATAATAGTTGAGAAACCCATTTAAATAATTTTTCATAAATTGTTATAAAAAGTATTAGAGAATGTGGAATTTTAGATTTGTGTGGTCCTACATTTGTCTCATTTAACCAATTTTTTCTGTAAATGAGGAAATTGAATAGAAAGAAGTTGTTCCACATCCAAAGCAGCTAATACTACCTGAACATTAAGTTATTTTTGTCATATTTGCCAGAGTATTCAAAAAAGTTGCATACTGTTTTAGTTATCCATAGCTCTGCAATAAGTTATACCAAAACTTAGTGGCTTAAACCAACAAACATTTATGATCCTAAAGTTTCTGTGGATCAAGAATCTAGGTACAACTTCCCAGGTGCTTCTGGTTTAAGGTCTCATGGGACTGCAATCAACCTGTTAGCCAGGGCTGCAGCCATAAATGCTTTAACTGGGTAGGGAGAATCTACTTTCAAGCGAACTCGTGAGGTTGGCACTCAGTCCCTTGTCACATGTACGTCTCCACAGGGCTGTCTCATGTCATGACAACTGGTTTGACCCATGGCATCAATGCAAAAGAGAGGGAGAGAAATGGAAGTTAGACATTTTATAACCAAATCTCTGTCTCTGAAGTGACACTTCATATTTGTTGTGTTCTTTTCGTTAGGTCAAGAGAAAAGGGCCAGACAGAGTGTGACTAACAGGATAAGAAATCATCACAGACCTTCTTAGAGGCCACTTTGTGCCTACTACATGCCCGTAAAAAAAAATCATTAAGAACATGTCACAAAAAAGTTAAAATATTTGTTATGTAACTACTGTAAAAAAAAATTTCAAAAATAATACAATTGGAATTTGGACTCTTGATTAAATCATCATATTCTCCATATGTTATTCTTGCTGATTTTTGACTGTGTTTATTTAAGAGTGTGACCTTGTACTTAAGAAATATACACAGAAGTCTTAAGGCTTAACTGAGGAAGATGGTTCAAACATATGCACCCTCCCTCACACCAAACACATACACATACACACACACACACACACACACACAGAGAGAGAGAGAGAACAAGAGAGGGACAGAGGCAGAGAGAAAACTTAAAAAAACCAAATGTGACAAAATGTAAACAATTGGCGAACTGGAGTTTTATTACTTTTTCAGATCTGACTATAACAAATGACCTTAACTCTGGTGCCTTAAAACAACAGAAGTTTATTCTCTCACAGTTCTGGAGACTAGAAGTCCAAAATGAAGGTGTCAGCAGAAGTGAGCTCCTTCCAAGGGCCATTTTTTGTCTCTTTTAGCTCGTGGTGGTTGTCTCCATTCCTTGACTGTAGGTGAAATATTCTAATATCTGTCTAGTTTTCACTTTGCCTTTTCTCTTCTCTGTGTCTTCTCTTTTGTCTCTTTCAAACCTTTCTCTGCTTTTGTCTTAAAAGACACTTGCCATTGGATTTGGGGTCCATCCTAAACCAAGATGATCTCCTCATCTCAAGATCTTAACTTGATTCTTTCTGTGAAAACCCCTTTTTAAAGTAAAATAACATTACTTGTCATTATGTGTCAGGAAGTATGCATAAACATATATTTTGTGGTCAGCCATTCACACATTACAGGAGTATGAAGGAAATTCTTGTGTAATTCATGTAACTTTTCCATAAGTATACAATTATTTTAAAGTAAAATATTTTTTAAGAAAAAAAAACAAGAAATTACATTGTCAAATGCTATACTAATCCAAACACTATGACATCTGACTAGCCAACTTTCTCTTAAAAATAAGCCTAAAAATGTGTACAGATATATCAATCAGAATAAGGTATTTTTTGAACTTGTATTTCATCATCATTCACTCTTTGAGGTCCGTGGAGATTATGTGATGTCAAAACTCTCTTCTTCATTGACCTCTCAAACTTTTGCTTTAATCTTCTTTGAACATTTAGGAAATCAAAGGTCACTTTTGTTTCAAAAGGTGGAACTACGATCCCAATATTACAATCTTTGTAGGAAGAGCTAAACGAAATCTTCTATGATACTAATTGCCACAAGATGGCAACTTTATCTCAGATAATAGGGTCATGAGACCCAAAGGTATTCTTGTTTTTTTTTGTTTGTTTGTTTGTTTGTTTTTGATCTTCGATTAGTTTGTTTTCTTTTCAAAATTGTGTATTGACTTTACGAAGCATTTTTTCATTTCTTAAGCATTCTACCCCAGATTTGCTAATTTCTTATGTGCATATTGAGCTAATGTGTCCTTATGTAGTGTCTTCACTATGTAAAATGATAAATGAAGGAATCCAATTACATAAGTTTGTAACACATAATAGCCTATTCTCATACAGCTGGAACCATGAGGTCCAAGATGAGCAGTCCGTTAAAACAGCTGCAGGAAAAAAATATGCTTAAAGGCATGCACACACACATGTACATATATATACGGAATTTTAATGCTATGTTTGGATAAATGGAATATCTAAAGAAATAATGAAGGAAGGAAAACTGTATTACTGGCTATAGGAGTTAGCTATTTAACAATTGGAATCAGTCACTCTAGGCTACATGAGCCTCTTGAGGCTTTCCAGTTGCGTTTTTAGCATTTGATCTCCAGTATCCAGCACATTGTTTATGTTAAATAAATACTGGCTACATAAATTTATGCATCATGAGTGATTTAATGATTTAATCTACACAACAGCCAAATATAGTCAAGCATAAATGCACTGAAGTTAAATCAAATAATCATGGGGATGATGAAACTTATAGCCCAAATGTGTACACATACATATGATTCTTTATTTTCTTGGACAGTCTTTAATAATTGTGGAATCATAGATTCTAAAGCTGAAAGCAACCTCAGGTGGTCATCTGGTTCTATGCCTTTCTTCAAGAGACAAGCAATTATTATCCCCATGATCTATTAAGCCACATTTTCTTTAACATGTGACAGCTAAGGTGATGATGATCGAAAAATATTGCTCTCCATTCTTAAACAATTTCACATGCACATATATGTTTAACAAGTGCCTTTCCAGAGCTATTACAAGAAAACACTAGCAGCCTTGGTTTGGAAGAGTAATTTATGATAGCTAGGTAAATGGCGTCCAAGATCACCTTGCTCACATTAGCCATGCAGCATCCCTGCCCCTTCACGGCCATCTTTCTTTAACCCTGGTGACAAGTGTGATTAAAAAGAAAAATAACATGAGTCCTACTTTAGTTTGCTTACTCTGTTTCTTATTCTAGTACTTGCTGCCTCAGATCATCTGTCTCAATAAGTTAACATAGGAGGGAGTAGAAGGAGAAACTGCGAAGTCGTGAGTGTGAGAGAAGTGCAGTCAATAGGAGGCCTTCTGGCCATTACTCCCCTCCCCATCTTTTGTTTCCTTTTGGTTTGTTAACTAGAAATGTGGCAAGGTGAGGGAGATGAATTTAACTTGTTCAGACATTAGTGAGGGACAGGGAAGTGTGGCGGCTTCTACAATATTTCTGCCCCAGAGAGACGTAATTGGAAAACGTGTTGTGTGGTTAGGTGGTGTAATGAAAAATAAAAGAATGATTGAGGAGAACAGTGGAATCAAATTATAAGCACAAGGCAAGTGTGCTGAAGTTTTTAGCCACTTGCAAAATTGAGAGATACTATCGGGACTGTGCAAATACATTGCTCTGATTAATTTTCCTGGGGTGAAATATGAAAATGTTTTTAAAACTGAGGATCCTGCCATGAATAAAATTTTCTCTGTGATTATGATAAACTAAAATAAGCCATAAAACTTGTATCTATCTTATGTGAAACTTTAAAAATGGTTAAATAATAAAAAAACTAAATAAAAGGATTTCACTGTGAGAGGCGAAAATAATCTGTATTCATGTGTTACTCTAAATGGCTTAAAATTTTGAAGATTATTCAATAAATAAAGAGTAGTTTATTTTGAAGGGATTTTTAAACTTTATTCCCTGAATATTGTTATAGAAGTAGCATTTTATTACTCTTCCTTTATACCGTTTTTTTTTTTTTTTATGTGTGGAAGCTGTAATTTTTCAATATGTAGGTAAACGGTCTTCAAGTTCAAAAAAATTCAGTCTTTAATTTTAATGATAATGAATAATTCAGTTATAATTTAGAAATACATATTTGGATTCTAGTTTTTCTTTTTAGGTGTAAAGTGAAAGATTTTAACTTTGCATTCTTTTGTAAATTTCTTAAGAATAAATTTGAAGAAATCATTGATATAAAGGAAGGGTTAATGGAGAAGGAAGCTTCCTAATATACAAAGCCCCTCTCTTATATGGAGCTCTAGAAATATTCTATTGTCAATCCAAACAGAACAAACTAAAGTGAGATAATTGGGAAGGTGCCCATAAAGTCAGCCTGAATATATTATCACAACTATATATGAGATAATATTTGTTTTAAAAAGATTCTATGGCACTGTAAACTCAGTCTCATTAGAGACTGCATTTAAAAGGCTTATAAAGTTACTCATTAATGTTATCTTGTTGTATCTCCACAGCTTTTTCATTAAAGAAAATTCAGCAGAAAGCATTTTCTCCTGATAGCAGGAACCAATTTGCAATAAATGTTCTGGAAACCACTAGGGAAGCCATTACTGAGATCTAATAAAAACAGACAAGCGTAACTTGTTCTATATTTTTGTTTCAATCACATACAGATGAGACCCCGCTTTCTACACCAACCGCAAGAGACAGCCTTGACAAACTCTCTCTAACTGGGCATGGACAACCACTGCCTCCGGGTTTTCCATCTCCTTTTCTGTTTCCTGATGGACTGTCTTCCATCGAGACCCTTCTGACTAACATACAGGTAGGCCTTTGTACAACCTGGAAGAAAGACATATGGAACACCCAGTTGTAGATTTTTTTTTTCCAAAATTTATACTGTTCCTACTTAATCCATTCATTAGACTAACTGAAACATGGTATTAAACTCTTCAAGCAACTAATATTTTAAACCTGTTACACTAATCAAATTGACTTAGAAATACTCATATATATTTATATATATATGTGTATATTAAGTTGTAATAAAAACTTTGACGAAAATGACATAGGTCTTTAAAATTCATTCCGTCTAAAATGCTCTCTTTATTACCAACTAATGGGAGGAATTTAACTGTTTAAGTTTGTCTGATTTTACTAAACAACAGCACACTAGTTCTAATAAATATTTAGTTATTTTTAAACTTCTGGCCTTCTAGTGAGGAAATGATATGTTTAGTCATTTAAGATACATCTAATTTAGAAGAATCCAAAAAAAATGCCTTCTTTCATGAATAAGTTTGTTTCAGTTAATAGAATTTCTTCAAAGACTAGACTTCAAAAAGCCTTACCAAACTTTCCACGGATTTCCTATGTGGTCCTCAGGATGTATATTTTATGTACAGTACATTATGAATCAAAAATACTTACAGTTAACAATAACATAGAGTGTGGAGCCAAGATAATAAGAGTGTCTGGGATAGAAGAAAGCATAATTTTCTTGCCCACACATGAAGTGATCATGTGGACCCCAGATGGAGATATTTGTTCTCTACTTCTCCATATTTGGGTAGCTAGTGAGTAGTAGGCACAAGTTGCTGATAGTGTGCTGGTAAGCTCCTTTTTTAAAAAAACTTTTTACTCTAAAATTCCATCCTCAGTAATATTTTTCTGTACACATATCCTATCATATTAAAGTTTCCCCCAGTGGAAATGTAATTACTTTTATTTACCTCTCCAAGGACATAACAGAAGGCCTTTAATGTAACATATCTTCTCATCTATTAATATGGCATTTTTTAATACTAATGTAATTAGAGTCTCCAGAACTGTATTCAACTTTAAGGTTTTATAATGCAGTAAATGAAAAATCATCAATCCAGCCTATACTAAATCATGGTGAAATAGTTGATTATATAAAACAAAATATTTTTTTTTCTAAATTTCACCCATATGTTAAGGTAAATGTTTTCAGAAAATATTCCTTAACATTTCTGAATTTAAGCTCTGAAAAGTAAAGGAATAATTCATTTTCTTATGTATAAAACTCAATATGAAGCGAAGGAAAAGCTATTTGCATGTATTGTCATTAACTGAAAGCTCTTTAACCAGGTCAGTGAGGATTTAATTTCAATTTCAGCAGAGAAAACGTTTCTGGGTTTCATCAGTGTAAAACAGCATGCTCATCTGAAGAGCAGGTTTGACACATGTACTCTTGCATTGTATATGACCACTACATTTCAAAGTCAAATCCTATCAGTTTGGAGTATTCATCGACACTCTACGGACCAGAAATACTCAGATTAGGAATGTCATCCACATCACCTCAAACTATAATTATTTCAGAAGGAAGGAAAGAAAGAACAAAAGAAAGAAAGAAAAGAAGGAAAAGAAAACTCCAGTTTTAAAATGTACAAATTTTAGAAAAATTATTCATTGTAGGGGGCTGTAGATTTAATATACTCTCCTTTTCCTACCATATGCTTTGAAGATATATTTTCATAAGAGTAGATAAAAGGACAATGGTCAAGACAAACTAAATTATTTCTGTTCCCAAATTATAGGGATCTGGGACTGATAAAGTTAGAACACCCACAATAAGAATGTTTTATTAAAAATAAATTAGGGGCCGAGTGCAGTGGCTCATGCCTGTAATCCCAGCACTTTGGGAAACCAAGGCAGGTGGATCACCTGAGATTAGGAGTTCGAGACCAGCCCGGCCAACGTGATGAAACCCAGTCTCTACTAAAAAAAAAATAGAAAAAATTAGCCAGGCATGGTGGCGGGCACCTGTAATCCCAGTTACTTGGGAGGCTGAGGCAGGAGAATTGCTGGAACCCGGGAGGCAGAGGTTGCAGTGAGCTGAGATTGTGCCATCACACTCCAGCCTGGGCATCAAGAGTGAAACTCCATCTTAGATAGATAGATAGATAGATAGATAGATAGATAGATAGATAGATGATAGATAGATAAATTAGGCTTGTCCATTTCAATCTTACTTATATGTATGTGTATATATAGATGCAGTTATATATTTATATATATGTCTAATATGCATATGCCTATATTTATACATGCATGTACATATCTGCCCACAGGTGAAATAAAAATTTAAAATCCTACTGAATTTCATGCACATATATATTATAAATACATATATATACACACACATACATATACAAACACACACACACACACATTTATTGTCAGTAATGGTTTCATATCATTTTACAAAAGCTTACAGATGCTAACTCTTTTACTATTGTCACATTTACTGAGTTACGGTATTATCGTAGAAATGGTATGGAATGTTTAAATAGTCATGACCCCGGATTATTAGGTATACAGTATAAATGTGATTGCTGTCCAAATTCTAATATGGGTAATTACATTCTGTCTACCTCAATTTCCTCTGCAGTTTCAATTATATATAATAGGATTCTGTGCTTTCTGTGTCAAAATGGTAACATACTTTTTGTGTAGTAAGTTTAAAGCTCCATTTTTTTAAGATGTTACTTTTTATTAAAATTATGACCAAAACACCCTGTAAAATAAAGTGTTTCCATAAAGTGTTATTGTTCTAATAGTCAATAAAGCCTGGAATTTAAAATTTGTAATGATTACTACAGATGTCCTTTCCATGACATCGTCATCAAAATTAAATTTTTGTCAGTTATTTCTTTGTGTTTTAAAAGAAGATCTATAGAAAAATACTATAATTATATGTGAAGATTTTCTATTTAATTTTTATTTTAAAATTTAAATTTATAAAATGTACATATATATATATTAATTGGGCACCAGACTTTTGTTAACTATTTGAGCTATACTGCATTCCTGCATTTAAGCGTTTTAGAAATTAAAAGTTAGCGGGGCACAGTGGCTCATGCTTGTAATTCCAGTACTTTGGGAGGCCTAGGTGGGCGGATCTCGAGGCCCAGAGATAGAGATCATCCTGGTTGACATGGTGAAAACATGTCTCTATTAAAACTACAAAAATTAGCTGGGTGTAGTGGCACGTGCCTGTAGTCCCAGGTACTTGGGAGGCTGAGAATGGAAAATGACTTGAATCCGGGATGCAGAGGTTACAGAGCCAAGATTGCACCACTGCACTCCAGCCTGGTGATAGAATGAGACTCCATCTCAAAAAAAAAAAAAAAGATAGAAAAGAAAAGTCATAATGAATACAGAAATCTAAAGTAAAAAGAAAAAAAAAGACCTATAAAAATCCTATGTTGATATATAAACATTTTATATTTAAATTTTATATTTAGAAATTTATAAAATGTATATATGTAAGTAATTGGGAACAAGAATTTTGTTAGTGCTTGAGCTATACTACTTCCTGACATTTGAGTGTTTTAAAAATTAAAAGTGATAATGGATACAGATATCTAGAGTAAAGAACAGTAATTTAGTTTAGTAAGGAATATGGATACAGTTCAGTTTTTGATTTTTAAAATTGCTTTTACTTTTTCTATATGGCATTTTTTTTTTCATTGTGGGCAATCTTTCATTATGGCTTCCTCTTTCAAACTTGTCCATGGAGAACAACCTGTGAGATTTTATGCAAGGAGACTAAAATTTTAGTGTCAATTAATTGGATATGACACCTTCGAACATGAGCTACCATTTGAACATGATCAAAGGATAATTCTGCTTACTCTTTTTTTTTTCTTTTTCCTTTGCTTTTCTTTTTTTCTTTTTTAAGACAGAGTCTCCCTCTTTCACCCAGGCTGCAGTGCAATGGGACAATCTGGGCTTACTGCAACCTCTGCCTCTCAAGTGATTCTCCTGTCTCAGCCTCCCGAGTAGCTGGGAGTAGCCTCCCACCACCACACCTGGCTATTTTTTTAAAAAATGTTAGTAGAGTCGGGGTTTCACCATGTTGGCCAGGCTTGTCTCAAACTCCTGACTTTAAGTAATCTACCCCTCTCCCAAAGTTGCTGGGGTTACAGGTGTGAGCCACCATGCCTGGCCCTACTCACTCTTTTTAATCTAGAACCCTTTAGCACATAGGGTGTGAGCAAATTATTTACTTTATCTATCTTGTTACAAAAAGGATTTAAAAAGTGGCTTGCAAATATTAAAATAACTAAAAAGTGAAAATGTAAAGTTTGAGTAGAGAATATAAAATTTAGGAGTGAGGTTAGCATTGAAGATTTATTTGCCATGAGGGGATATATGATTGGAGTTTGGTTCACTATAATCTATCTACATGGAAGAATTAAGCAAACAAGAAAGACCTAAAACATATGTTAAAAGCGCAATAGCTTCAGCTTCACTGGGTGCTGTGACTCACACTTGTAATTCCAGTGGAGACTGAGGCGATAAGACCACCTGAGGCCAGAAGTTTGAGACCAGCCTGAGAAACATGGGGAGACCCTGCCTCTATAAAAATACAAAAATTAGCTGGGCATGGTGGGGCATGCCCATAGTCCCAGCTATTAACACTTGTGAGGATGAGGCAGGAGGATAGTTTGATCCTGGGAGTTCGAGACTACAGTAAGCCATGATGGCGCCACTGCACTCCAACCTGGGTGACTGAGTGAGACCCTATCTTAAAAACACATACACACACAAGAAATGGCAGCTCCAGATTGATTCACTATAGCCTAATAAATGGACATAATCCAGCCATGGTATCTAGGAGGAATTATTCTCTACGTCTGTGTTTGTGGAAAGAAAATGAAAATGAATTAAGTATAAGACTGAACTATAGTCATGCATCGCTTAACACTGGGGATACATTCCGAGAAATGAATCACTGGACAGTCTTGTAGTTGTGCAAACATCATAGATTGCAGTTATGCAAACCTAGAGGATATAGCCTAGTATATACCTAGCTATACAGCATACCCTATTGTTCCCAGGCTATGAACCTATATAGAAGATTACTGTATTGAATACTGTAGACAACTGTAGAGCAATAGCAAGTATTTGTGTGTCTAAACATAGAAAAGGTACAGTAAAAATATGATATTATAATCTTATGGGACCATCATGTATGCTTGTGGACCAGAAAATTGTTATGGAGGTGAATGACTGTACTCTGATTATCCATCTTCAGTTCTTTACATTTCAATATCATGGCCAATAATTTTACTTTACTTTTTAATGTATTTTAAAATAAAATAATAGTTTCCTTATTTACATTGTTAATACATAATTTTAATTATAATTTAATTATAATAAACTTATAATTATAAAAATTATCATATTTATAATAATTTTATTATATATTCATTTGTTATATTAATATATTATTTATTACAGTATATATTTGTTATTTATTATATTAATTTATTATATAAATATATTTTAAATATTAAAATTAATCATAATTTAATTATTGATACATAATTTAATTATAATACATAATTATATATAATACCATTAATTAGGAGGAGACTTTGCATAAACCCCAACAAAATAGACATTGACTTCAAAATATGGGGAAGCTTGTATCAAATATATTGGCCCTACATTATGTTTTTATTTTCAATGGTAATTATATATTATGAATCTTCTCTGCTTGTACCTGTCATACATCGGCGTTGCAGGACAATAATCATAGCATTAAACTGAGTATGGTAGTATATTTTGTTACAAGAACTTCTCTGAAAATGTGTCAGTTGGGCCGGGCGCGGTGGCTCACGCCTATAATCCCAGCACTCTGGGAGACTGAGGTGGGTGGATTGCCTGAGGTCAGGGGTTTGAAATCATCCTGGCCAACAGGACGAAAACTCTACTAAAAATAAAAGAAAATAAGCCGGGCATGGTGGTACATGCCTGTAATCCCAGTTACTTGGGAGGCTGAGGCAGGAGAATTGCTTGAACCTGGGAGGCAGAGGTTGCAGTGAGCTGAGATCACGCCATTTGCATGCTAGACAACAAGATCGAAACTCCTTCTAAAAAAAAAAAAAAGTGTCAGTTGATACTGTACTATTGATTATGTGTTTGTTATTGATTATGTGTTTGGTTTTTGGTCTACAAAAGTTCCTAATTCCAAGGGACATTATCCTTTTTCTCCCTGAAAAGAGACCAGGGAAACATTAAAATAATAATAAAGAAGACTAAGTAGCTGGATAGTTGTGATCTAGGCGTACTCTACTCAGTATTTGGGATTTTCAATCAGTCTCTTGATTCTTCTGCACCTTGGTTTTCTCATCTTTAAAAGTATTTGGTTACGATGGTGATTGCTAAAATCCTCCTCAAATAAGGTGTTTTAATTTCATTAGAAGCAACACATTATTGAGAACAAATTTTGTCACATGAGTTTCAGTGACACTCGAGAAACCTAACTTACTGTCGGATTCTGAAATAAATTTATGTTAAATACAAACATGCATCAAGTAAGCTTTTCCTCCAGGATCTAGCTAGGTTGCTAAGAAATGTTTCTTAGCAATATTATTTGAAGTCGTCTTACATAGATATTGTACTTTCGAAGCCATATCAACAGTAGAAACATTGCTAGATACAGTGTCCTTTAAAAAAAAACTACTCAATCTCTAAAAAAAGATGAAAATAATTTACAAATTAGATTATTTTAGAAAACAATGATATTTATATATTATAACAACCATTATGCCTCACTCATAGAAAATAAATTTGGGGCCAATCAACTATTGTCTCTCACCATTGCTGTGGCATACATAACCTTAAAATGTATTTCATTAGACTTGTCATTAACCAACTTCAATATCCTAAGAACCGTCCTCCCCTTGGAGAAAAAATCATGCTTTAAACCTTCTATCGTTTTCTGTAATACACATTTTTGCCACAGCGTTTTCTGGATATTGCATGTTCAAGTGAGATGCCGCATTTAATGTGACCGTTTGCATGTGATCGACCTGGAAATTTTACAGAAGTTACACAAATCTGAAAGTACTATTATCATTGATGACTACAATGGTGTCCTAAAGATTTGTAGATGTTGTGAACACTACTTCCTATTGCTTTTCCCAGCCCCCTGCTGCATTGAAATTTAATCGGTTTTCTGTATTTTTTGAAGCAGAGCTGTCACTGGCAGTAACATACTTTTGCATATGCATCAGTTTGGCTCTGGTACAGATTTTTGTTCACACTGGACTCCTACTGATATGCACTGATTCAAAGTCTAAAAATTACATTTAATTTTATATAGCTTATAAGTAGTCCCAGAGAGTATTGGATCCTAAAAGCTAATATTTTTCAGACATAATCAGCAGCAATAGGTAATGTATTAACATTAGTCACATTAGCAGCAACTGTAACAAAAGGAAACAGTAAGCATAAATGCTCTCAGCAACTTCACTCTTTGCAACGAATATTAATATAAAATTACACAAATTAGAGTTGCAGTTTAACATTATTCAACATGTTTATTCATAATGATTGTTTCATATTTAAATAACACCAAAATATTGTGTTTTGTCAGCCAAGGACAATAATAGTTTAATAGTAATTTATTTTAAACAGCTACTGATAATACAACCAATCAACACATTAAGTGGTGCCAACATTGGCATCTTGCTAAATAATCTCTAGACATTGCACAGAGAGTACATCTTTCAAAGATAAGTCAACAAGAGCAATCAGAGCAGAAAATTAGAATTTGGTATCTTAGAATTAAAATACAGCTAAAGTTTTAATTGGGGTGATCTAAAAGGGCACTTGATGTAATGATCTCTTTCATTTGTTACTAATTGTTTGTTCCTGATGAAGAAGAAGCTTACACAGGAATGTTGCTGAGTTGAGTTAAGATGGCAGTTTCCTTAGCAGCTATGTTTTATTGTTAAACAAAAAAGAGTGGGGAGTGGCAAACTGCCACAGAGAAATCTTTCTTCAGCTTGTTTCATATCACAAGAATTATACCAGCAGATTCAGGGTCAGGTATGGCAAATATGGAACAATTTATATGTGGTCAAAAGAGAATAAAATTGGCTTACAGCAATGCTATAAACTACATTGGTAAACTGAAGTAGGACTATCTCTCTATTGTGCTAACAAGTCAAGCTGGAGTAGAAATTCCTGATTCAAACTGCTCATAATATCTTGCAAGGGAGTCACATCCTAGAGTACATCTACAAATAACATCAACTTTCATCTCATTTTAACTTCAGTAGAAATTTCAGTCTCTGACACTCACAGACCAAGGCAAAATATCTTCTACTTCAAAAACTCATTTTGTATTGCTGAATTGAAGAGAAGTTTTAGCTCTAATTTTCACTAGTAACTGTTTCAGAGTATCTTAGGAGAGAAAACAGAGAATGCTTTTTATATGTTTAACATATTTCCATATCTGATTTTTAAGAACCTTAAAATACTGCTAATTTTTAAAAGCATACAGTATGTCAAAAAATATATAAATATATACACGATTAGTTGTATGAATAAACTTCTCTTTCTCTATATGTTCTTTTAAATTATTACACTGCCTAATCATTTCTTAGAAGTTATCCTGAGTTTATTACAACCATCTTGAATGGCTTTTTAAAAAGTAATATACTACTAAACCAATTTTTAGATCCCTTAAATCTATTATGTATCTCAAGAAAAATGTAGCAGTACTATAATTGCTATTTGTGAAATTTTAAAATCTAGTATATACTGGGCACTTTCTGGGCCTGGGGGCATAGTTCCGAATGACAGAACATGCCCCTGCCCTAGAGAGCTTACATTTTAATAGAGAACACGTAACATAAGTCAGTAAATAAATAAATATATGTCAATACCACATAATGATACATTCTATGAAGAATTTTAGGGAGGGAGTAATAAGATACATTTGGAGACAGGGTAGTAAGAGAAGGCCTCTCTTGAATAGTGACTTTGAGCAAAGATGAAATGAAATGAGGGTGTGAGCCATGCAGAGATCTGGAGGAAAAGCATTCAGGAAGGGAACAGAAAGAACAAAGTCTGTGGGGGCAGAAGCAAATTGTTTCATTGAGGAACCAAAAGGAGACCATTGCGGCTATGTACTCATGGTAGGGAGTGGGAGAATGAGCTCTGAGGAGAAAGGTGAGCACTACCAGAATCCTGTAAGGTTGTATAAACCATGTCAGATAATTATTTGTGGAGGAGTTTCAGCCTAATTTCCTTCTCAGTTCTTATTTTTTAGACACGCTTACGTGCTGCCCTCATTTAACTTTGGATCTAGATATTCTAATTAGAAGCAATTAAACCTGCATGCCATAAATATTTGTCTTCCGAAAATAGTTTAACTAGACTTAGGAGTTTTGTGCTTTAGTTATAGTATTTGTCCTAGTGAGTGCAAAGTGAATGCACAAGAATTAGATCATTTGATCACTGGGTTCTTCACTCTTAAAATGCTTTTAAGTAATGAACGAAAAGTGCTTTGTATTAAAATATTACCATTCCGAATATCTTTTTTGTACAGGGGCTCTTGAAAGTTGCCATAGATAATGCCAGAGCTCAAGAGAAACAGGTCCAACTGGAAAAAACAGAGCTGAAGATGGATTTTTTAAGGGAAAGAGAACTAAGGGAAACACTTGAAAAGCAGTTGGCTATGGAACAAAAGAATAGAGGTATTTCTAAATTTCCAAATAAGTTTAATATTTACAGAAAATATTAAACATATTAATACTGTGATGATGATTTATTTTGAAATCGTAGTTTTTTTTTTTTTTTTAATTTAACGGTAGCTAAAATTCAGAGCAGAATTTGAATCCTAGGCTCATTGTATTTCTTAATCTCCAAAGTACATGTTTTCTCTTCTGTTCCTACCTCAGGAAATTGAAATACGTCCATTACATCATAAATTATATAACTTTTATTGATGATTGAGTTTAAAAATTCATGTTCTTTAAGAGAAGAATAAACTCTAATGATAGCCATGAAGAAAAATTTTATGTTAATTCACAATTGCCCTTTGAAAAACTTGAGTTAAACTCATAAATCTAAAATAGAAAATACTGATTATTCAAGCGAAGCAGGTTTACTAAGATATTTATCAACTGAAATTGAAAATGGATGAATATCTGAACAAATGACCAAAGTTAAATGTTTGTATAATTTTCTTTCTGAAGGCCTCATTTTCATCCAACAAGGTCAAGTACACAGAGTAGAAACTGATATAAATTCTTATTGGATAAAATAATGTTATTATTGATCTGTGAATTGCTTCTTTTATCACACTGTACAGTACATCTATAGATAATTTTGAAGGTCATTTATATTTGCATCTTTATTTTATGTATGAATTTGAAGATTATTTTGTTTACGATCAACTGCCTCTTTGCTTCAACTATGATTCTTTTAAGTATTCTAGAAGTGAAGTGGGGGCTACTTTTCACTCATTTAATATATATCCAATATAAATGCTCCACATTATTTTCTTGTATATGTTTGACATGGTCATTTAAAAATCGTTCTGTTTTGTTTTTAAACTAGCAGGATTTACCAGGTTGTTTTATTAGCTATTATGAAGCAACAGCTAATGTATTCTTGGAATTTGGTCAATTCGGGAAGCTGTCATCCCAGATGTATAGCACAGTTCTAAATAATGTGGCTTCCATAGATTCAGGTATTTAAATAATCAAAACAAGGTAAACATTGATAATGGCTGTATTCTAAGTGAATAAGGAAGTTGGGTCAAAGAGCTCAATCTATGGAATCATCTTCCATGAAGCAGCCATGTTTTTATTTTGCTGTTACTAAATTTTGTTTAGTCCTTTTTTACATAACTTAAAGGCAGGCCCAGGGATTCCTAAAGTACCCATTTGGTTACTGGAGAGACCTTCAGAATTTTATTGGTTCAAACCTTTTGGGAGGATTTACATTCTGTTTTCTTTCATTAACCACTAGAGGGCAAAACATTCGCAGATCATACTGTAAAGTTCCCATTTAATTAATTACGAACAATAAATTCAAGGCAATAATTATCAATACTTATCTATTATGAATGTGTCTATTGTAGCAGTGTATTACCCTGAAGAAAGAGAACATGGCAATCCTATTGGGTTCAATCACATAGGAGGAAACCGTGAGCCATCAGTGGAAAAGTGCAGGATATTAAGCCTTTAGAGCCACAAGAGCATGCAATAGAAATAAATATTTCAGAAATTACTGTGTCTTTTCAAGGCGACTCATAAATAATCATCTTTGGGAAGGGAAACAGTAGGCAGGTAATTTTGTTAAGGTAAGCACATGATTTGCACACCATTAAATAAGGGAAATTAACATTTATTTAAAATCAGTTTCAATTACTTTTCGTATAACACCATAGCCAGTGTACGTTTTTATACAAAGCAGGTTTTTAAAAATATATGGTACAGCAACAATATACGTGACATGTAAATGAGCTGCCATCTTAAAAATATTAGTAATAATAAAAACAGGATTATGTGGAAATTAGAAGCGAAAACTAAAATATTTACTTGAACCATTATTATTTTATATTTTGATTAAATATTCTGCTTTAAAAGTGTTGCTATTCTTTAATCTGTAGTAAGAAATCAAATAGTAAATATGGAATGAGTAGTCTTCATGTTTAAGAGAAGCATTTTCTCATACTGAGTCTGTCACACTGATGTCTACAATGTTTATCAACCATCAAAGATAATTTTAAAGAAAAATGCATATTCCTATATGCTGAGTAGTTACCATATGTATACATATATATGTAGTAAAAGTTAAAACAATTGTCCTCCAGAAAGCATAGTCGATATACATTTTGTAAAGAACATTAGTTATTATTTATTGAGTATATATTATATACAAATATTTAAATTGTCCAGTTGGAGAAAAATGTTTCATAATCAACTTTTTGTATTATCTATTTTTTAAAATATAAAAGGCTCTTCATTATTGTTACCAGTAGCATATTATTATTAACAATGAGGTTTCATACTGCCTCAGATTTCTGCAGAGTGAAAGTAGAATAATTTTCTTAAAATATATCATAGTACTGTAAATTTGCTATGAGAAAAATATTCTCAGGGAATCATCACAACTTCATCCCCACAAAAACATTTCTGCTTATATACGTTAACAATAATTAAGAGTATTTTTTCTAATGTACAAAAAATATTTATTGCATTTCCTAAAATTTTAAGGAAGAAATTACTGAAAACTGAGTTGGTCTAACATTGCTTTCCAAAGCATTTTTAGGGGAGATGCTCCATTTGCTGCTCAAAATTGATTCCTTATGAGGAAATAGGAGAGAGGCATGCTTATAAGGGTTTGCACTATCCAAATGACTCTGCACTATTATGATTCAAGGACAGAGAACTAAGCCACAAAATTCATTTAATCAAGCTTCCTTTATCAGTGAATACAAACATTTACTAAAATTAGTTTCTTATTAAATTTATCTTTACATATGAAAATTAAAGCTATTCTTGTAATGTAATAGTTCTAGGCTAAAATAAAAATTGGCCTTCTTATTATTTTACTGGGAATTATTTTAGGTAAAGGTGGAGATTTTTGGAACTCTCTTTTTGTAGGTAGACTCAGTCCAGCAGGAAAACAAAATGAATAACATAAAAAACATAGACCATTTGTAAATTAGCAGCATTACAAAAATTTCAATAATAATAATATGCATACACTCTTTTTTAGCCATAGTTCAAAAGAGGCTAAAGAAGGAGAAGAAGGCGAAGAGAAAATTGCAGGAAGCACTTGAGTTTGAGACGAAACGGCGTGAACAAGCAGAACAGACGCTAAAACAGGCAGCTTCCACAGATAGTCTCAGGGTCTTAAATGGTAAGAGGGTGTATATTATTGCATGAATAACTGTCATTTTTAATGCTAAAAGGACAATTTAGACATGTGTTTGTAGTTTTGTATGTTTCTATATCTTGTGATTCATTCAGCTATACTTGAAGCTGAAAGCAGGGTGGGAAGAACGTATTGGGGAAAATGACTTATTTTATAGGTGCTTCCACTGTTTTTTACTGAACTCCAGCATCTGGGACTTGGCATTGCGTCTCTGTTTAACCAGATCTTTTTCTACTGAAACACAATAAAATATTAATTTGAGAATTTCCCAACCCCCATCCTCTTTTATGAACAATGTTGCGTTGCTTACTGTTCAAATCTTCCGAAAATTCTTATGGTTATAGTTTTTGTTCAACCTTTAAAAGATGACAAAGATTTATGTAATTTTAATCCAGCAACAAAGTAACAGGTTGCTCTTTTTTTAAAAAAGGACAAAAGGAATCAAATGAAATATGTGTCACTCTTACCTTTCTGTGCTTTTAGACTCTCTGACCCCAGAGATAGAAGCTGACCGCAGTGGCGGCAGAACAGATGCTGAAAGGACAATACAAGGTAGGAATTTGCAGAAGGCTATAAATCTAGATCTTGCTATATGAGTTTTTCCTCAGCTTTAGCCTGCTATTCAAGCATGTAGCCTACCATCTGGGCCACATCAAAACAAGTTCAAACAAGGTCAAGTTCATCTTGCTTGTTTATATGAGTGAATTCATTTTGTGCTGATAGATTTTCTTTAAATTAACAGGTCATCTCTGTTTATACAATGCAATTAAAAGGAATAATTAATTTTAAACAATGTATGATTTAATCTTGGACTCAGTAAATGTGTTTTATTGAATGTTTGAAGCCCAGTCTAATGCAGGAAGGGTTTATAAGTTCTGTGCTACATAAATAAAATCTGTGGTTAATCAAATAGGTAGTTCTTACAATTTAAAAAGGTCTAACTACTCATTTTTATGACACTTACTGCAAGGTACCTGCAAAATAGACTAGTTGAATGTTAACAATAAATAAGATTGTTTAGTTCCTATGTGGATTCCAAATGTTCTGTGTGCCATTATATACACTTTAATAACACAAATCTGCTGAGTAAAATCATATAGAGAATACCAAAGGGAGTTGTATTAAATGCTCAGAAGAGCTAAATATGTATATTGTCATGACCATACTATCAGAAAAGAATAAAACCAGAAGGTAGCATTTATAGTCAAACATCTATTTTAGACGACAAATTCAGCCTAACAACATGAATACTAAACAGTAACAAGAGCATTTGTTTTCTATTTAAAATGAAGGTGATTCTTCAAAGGGATGCCTAAAATGATTAACTGCCATAATCCTCCCAATTGCTTTTATTCTGCATTTTAAACTCAGTCATTTTTAGGATATTGTATGACATTAATTGTGTTACTTAATCAGCTCCAAATATATCATTCTTGGCTTCGTATAAAGGAAATATACTTTTGTAAACTATCATACGTGCAAGAAGTAACAATCACAAACTTGAAGAAACATTTTTGAGGAAAGAATGGATTTTTTTGCCTGTATTTATTTTACCTGAGGTCATGCTAATTAATTTGTAAATCCTAAGGTTTGAATCATGTGTTATTATGAGACATCTTGGATGTACAAGATTAATGCTATTGTAGATATAGAAAAATATGTGAATTTTTAGAATATTACGGATTTCAGCACAATTATATGTGTGTATATGTTTGTATGTATATGGTTATGAAAATTAAAAGAATCCTCTTGCATCTTATAAAACTTACAAACACATGTTAAAAATTATTGTTAATGAAAAACCAGTCCTCTTTATCAGAGACAATAGTACCAATAAGACAAATGCAAATGTCAGCACCAATGTGTACAAGCAGGGCCTATTCATGCATTAGATAATGTCAAAGTGGTCTCAGAAAGCACATGAGCCCATAGATAAGTGTGACATACAAATCATCTGGTATACACAGAATCTTCTAGGTGGTCTGAACTCAAGCTAGAAAAAATTATAGACAATATAGTCCTGCATATAAATGAGAGATTCATTGTTAATATTAAGAAGTGATTAAACATTTTAGTGTGGTTGATATGATATGTATGCCACCCATAGCAACATGTTGGTTGTTAATAAGGCTATAGTTATTTTTGTTTGAATTTGTCAAATTTACATATGTTTAAACATACATTTTAATATAGGTAAAGTCTTGCTGTATGAGGTTGAAATGTTGACAACTTTCAGTTTCCATTGTTGTGACTGACTTATTCTGAAGAGAAGTTTTAATAATAAATTGCCTTTCTTTTGGTAGCCAGAATCTTACCAATGGAGGAATACAATGAACCTACATACCAACAACTTAATGATTAGGGAAACAAGACACTTGTACAACAATTATACATAGTAATTTAAAACCATATACACATTTGATGGAATTATTTTTGCCTTTAATTGTAATAGAAAATCCTCACTCACTTTATTCATTCATTCGGACTGTCCATTGTTGTACTGGTCCAAATGTACAGTTGATTTTTAATAAAACATACTAACTATGCATGAGATTTATCAGATAATATGACTTTTCCCAAATTGTAATAAGAAACACACTGTTGATGAATCTGTTTCTAGCTGTTAGTTGCTAAAAGATATTTTACCAGCAGTCAAACTATTTCAAGACTCAACATAACAGAGCACAGAGATCATATTTGCTATTCTAACACCCTATTCAATAAGCTTAATTAGCCCTTTGAACTTTTTTTTCTACCCTCAGACAAAATTCATACATTTGGAAGCTAACAAACAGAATACAATTAACTGCGAATGAAAGAAATCAAAGAAACAATACTGTATTTAGTTAAATGCTGGCGAAGGACAAGAAAGGGAAAGGCAAGAAAGAACGAACCAGAACTCATTACTAATTTGTGAAACTGTCTGTGTCACGCATTTTGGGAGCCATGAGCACCTGCTGCTTCACAATTCAAGGATGACACACACACAGCCTCTCGCACTCATCACTTTCTCTCTCCAACTGTCCCCAAGCCCAGGTGTTATGACATTCTTTTATTATTTCTTGCTCCCAAGCCAATCATAACTGAAATTATTTTCTATTCCAAAGTAAACTCAATTTATTGGGAAAGACAAAATAAGCCCACAGGTTTTTTAGCTTTTCATGTATTTTTAACATTTCTGGCAATAAATAAATGCCACTCTTGGCCCAAGAGTTAGTCACCTAGAAGTCAGGCACTTAAATACTTACTGCTTGAGTGCTAAGTAATTACCCCTAAATATGCACATCTGGGTAGACTAAACATTGCCTCATTGGCATTTTGTATCACCATTTCTATAAAACCCCAGAGGTGGACAAGAGGAATCGAGAAAGTAGTGTAGAAAGTATTTCTGAAGAAAGAAGCCCTAAATAATTTACTTGCATTTTCTTCGTGAGGTAAATCAGCTCCTTGTATGCAAGATAAATTCTTCATTGCTGATTTTCAAATAACTAAGAACTCATGAATTGTAAAAATGCTATAAGTACAGACCAGATATTCAAAAATTAAAAAAAAAAAATCTTCTTCCAGCAACTGAAATATATGGCAATTAACTCTCTTATGCCTTGTATCATATAGATTTACATGGCATGATTTGTGTTGGACTTTGAAAAATTTACCCTACTCAAGAAGTTTTCTAAGATCTTTTGAATATATAAAGTAGACAGAGTTCATAAAATCAATCCTCGAGCACTTTTTTGGGCTAGTCAGTAAATATCCCTCAAAACCCCTTTGCCTCCTACACATATATATGCACATATGTGCACATTTTATGTAGCCAAATCTATAACATGATGGCTTTCTTCAGCTACGTCGTCATCTTATGTTTATTCTTTCTCCTTAGGCAACAGCAACTACTTACATAGTTTCTTTTTTCTTTTTCTTTTCTTTTCTTTTTTCTTTTTTTTTTTTTTTAAGACAGAGTCTCACTCTGTTGCCCAGGCTGGAGTGCAGTGGCATGATCTCAGTTCACCATAACCTCCACCTCCTGGGTTCAAGCGATTCTCCTGCCTCAGTCTCCTGAGTAGCTGGGACTATGGGCGCACACCACCATGCCTGGCTAGTTTTTGTATTTTTTTTATTTTTTATTTTTTTTTTTTAGTAGAGACGGTGTTTCACTATGTTGGCCAGGCTGGTCTCGAACTCCTGACCTTGTGATCTGCACGGCATGGCCTCCCAAAATGCTGGGATTACAAGCATGAGCCACCACACCTGGCCCCATAGTTTCTTTAACTTACCTATTTAGAAAATGTATAGATATTTTTCCAATCCACTCAGACATCTCTTAAGAGCTCCAGATAATAATATCCAACTTTTTATTTGGTCGACTCACAGAGACCTAAAAGTTCAGTGCACAAAACTCTGTGTATCCTTCTCTCTCCCCAAGCCTGCCTTTCTCCAATGTTCCTTCCCTATGGCACCCTCATCCATCTAATCCAGTGCTGTCGTTAATATGTAATGAGGGCAGAGTGGAGCATGACATTTCCCTCCCTCACTCCCTCATCCTCTATGCCCAGTCACGACTCTTTCCCTTCAATCTCTGTGCTCCCATCATACTGGAAGTTTTTCTTATTGTTTCACTTTTTTCCCAACCTACTGCAGACATTTTTTCTTCTTCCTTGCCTTTACTTAACCACCCCTTAAGTCCCAGCTTGGACATATTACCTCAAGGAACACTTCCCAGACCCCTCACTCTCTCTCTGTGGCAACTCCCTGCCCCCTGGGACTAGTTCTGCCTCTTAGAGGTTCTTACTACACCTTCCATTTCTCCATAGGAACATGCTGTACATGCAGTTCCTTGTTCAATGCCTTCTCTCCATGGTAGCTGGGACAGAGCATAAACCATGTGTGTTTTGTTCACTGCCAAGTTCCTATTGTCTGAGAGAGAATTTGGCACATAGTGGTGTCTGCTGTGATTCCCTGAAGGAATGAATCAGCCATTGATGAATTAGGATCTATGTTAGATCTTGTGGATATGAAGATCCTTCATGTTCTGACATTTCTCAGACTTTGGTTGAAGAGACTGATGAGAGGGAAAAAAGGATGACCTAGTAAACCCAGAACTAGACCGGGAGCGGTGGCTCACACCTGTAATCCCAACACTTTGGGAGGCCCAGGTGGGTGGATCACGAGGTCAGGAGTTTGAGACAAGCCTGGCCTACATTGTGAAACCCCATCTCCACTAAAAATACAAGAAATTAGCTGGTCATGGTGGCAAGCATCTGTAATCCCAGCTACTCGGGAGGCTGAGGCAGGAGAATCACTTGAACCTTTGAGGTGGAGGTTGCAGTGAACCGAGGTCGCACCACTGCACTCCAGCCCAGGCAACAGTGCGAGACTCTGTCACAAAATAAAAAAGAAAAAAGAAAAAAAGAAAAGAAGAGTAACCCAGAATTAATGTTTACATCCAAGAGCTGAATTAACAGGATGTGTTTATTCTTCTTTGTTTGCATTTTTCACTTTATTTTCTTCTTTTCACATTTGACCTAAGATTTGGATTCTGTACATACTTAGAT